ACCTGTTTTAAGCTGCCCTGCAAACCCCCTGTTTCATGAGACAGCATAGATAGTTAGAACCACTTACAGCTCAAGAGAAAACATGTTAATTCAAATCAATGTAAATTCTGCACTGGCAAAGATGTGGGAAGCGGTCCAGAAAAGATCTCATTCCTGTCATTCCTCATTAGGAGATTGTCCCTTAGAGGGACAGAGTTTCTGGAATCCCCACTAATCTGGAATCCCCACTAATGCCATTGCGTAAGCCGTTGATGGCAGGGTCACACCCGGGGTAACACGGAAGCACCGCCCCGTCACCCGGTCCCATTGGCACACCAGTTTGGGATAACTCTCACCTAATCAAAAGGTGTAGCTCCATATGGCCAAGCCTGTAAACTGCACCCTTAAGCACCTACACTGCCACTGAGTCAGTCGAATTCATCCAGAGCTGTCTAAAAGTTATACAACTGTTTACATACTTTATGAAAACATTTTATCTTCTTTTATGAGACATTATCTGCTCGTCTGTGACGATTCACGCGCTTCACTCCCAGTCCATTTCCAAATCATCTGCAGTGAAGAGTGTAAGCGGAAAGGTCTACTTCCATTTACAATCTGAGCAACTGCTTTCAGGAATTGAAGTCCAGAGAAAAGATGGTATTTTCTAGGTATGTCTTAATTTACCAGGCCTCTTCAGCAAGAACTCGTAACACAGGCAGAAAAGACTTGGGATCAACTTAGCAAACACACCCCAAAAATCAAGACAGTGACATGCCCCCTCCACACCCAACCATGGTTAGCACAAGCAATGCACAGGGCTGCTGTTTCCAAACGCCACTGCCAAGACACGAGGCGATGGGTAACTTCCTCTTTTTTTAGCTTAGCGCAGCGGTGGTTATCCCAGGCTCCTGAGAAGAGCTCTCGGAGCGGTCTGACAGCCATCCCTCTGTTTTAAGCCACACACACATCCCCAGCCGAGGGGAGCAGCCTGGGTGGCCTCGCCAGGTTACCAGCGCCCCGGGGGCCTTCCTGGAGAGCAGGGCCGGGGCAGGGCTGGCCCTGGAGGAGGTGGCCAGGCCTGGGACCCTCAGCGCAGAGATGCCAGCGCGCTGACCCATGCCCTCCCCGGGGAGGCGTCAGGTGGCCCCCACTTGCCTGCGGCCCCCACTTGCCTGCGGCCCCTCGCTGCCTCCCCACACACGGCGGCCTCGCCTTTGTCTGAGCTGTGCCGTGTTTACCCTCCCAC